TTCCAGCCAGGGACCCTCATTGAGTTCCTGATCCTAGGGCCCCATCAGAGCCCTTCCCCTCAGTGCTTCTGCCCTGATTCTGTCCCTCACCATCCTTCTCAGCCTACAGCCAAGGAAAGGATTTTTTTGCTGGTGCTGCAAGAGGTGGGTGTTGCTCTACTTGCCATGTCAGGATCATTCCAGCCCCCTGGCCCAGCTATCTTCACAATGCTGTCCTGGTGAAGTGCTGTCCAGTCCAAGATACTCTTGATGCTGCTCCAGGAATCGTAGACATCAAAAAAGTTCCTCCAGTGATTGCAGTACTGTTTGATCTCTGTGTAATTGGGCTGCCAAAACAAAAGACTGTGGAAGAGACTGGGTGTACAAGAACAAGACTATACACACAGCTAGACTGGATCAGGGATAATTTAGGAGAGACTATGATAACACTTTCCACCACCAGCTACCTGGATGATCTAGTGCGTGTTGGTTCCATAGGATGCCTTGTGCCCAGTAACTCCAGGCTGCCATGCTCCAGACAACACTATTGCTTCTCTTGGGAGAACAGTTGTGGCAACCTAACTCTGTTAGAAAATTCCTTTGAGCGCTATTTTACTGAAGGTGTGACGGGGTCAGTGAGATTAAACGGTGACATCTCAGTAATTACTGCCATTTCCTGGGTTTACAGCCTTTGGTGACTAATGCATTTAACTCCTGGTGGGAGGGAATGGCAGCATCCTGTCATGGTGGCACAGGGGAAACCAGCTATGGGTGGAGAGCAACCTGCCAGTCATGGACCCTGGCTGGCAGAAATCTGTCAGTAAACAATGTGGAGAATTCCTGTTAAATAGGCTGTCCTAAAGTCTCTCTCTTGGTCCCTAGAGGTGACTGTAAGGCTGAGTCTGCAGCACTCTGCATCCACAAGGAATAACACCAAGCTATCCACTAGCTGTGTATCTGCATTGCCAATGTTTTGTTGCTTGATTCCTTGGAGACAGAAAGCAGAGGGATGCTGCAATGTTCTTTGGCATGCTCCAGCTGGATCCTACAGGATTCTTTTCAGCAGAGTAATGACTTGCCTCAAGTATACTTCAGGGCTCTAGAGGAAAAAGTGGTTTTCCTCCACTTTACAGACTTGTTCTCTGTCAGCCCAGAGAGCAGCATTCTCAGGATGCTGTTCTGCAGTCTTAATGCTCTTTCGTTCTTCCTGCTTTCAGCCCCAGGATAAGTCTTGAGAAACACTCCTTACCTGCTGCACGGGCCTCAAGTAGAAGGGCCACTCACAGGAGTACACAATGCTCCTTCCAGTCTTGTTCAGGGCCAGGGACATGTGCCTGTAACCTAAAGAAAGAGGACAGACAGAGGTTACGCAATCTCCTTGGTCAGACAGAGGAAGTAATCCAATGTCCCAGGTCCAAGTTTCAGTTCAAGTTTTGCAAAGTCAAAGCTGAACACATTATCACAGCTGAAACACTACAGGGACAGGTAAGCTTCTTCACAGCGTTGATACAGGTCATGGGCAGGCCTACTGCTGCAAGACTGCTGATCTCTTTGTGCATACAGCGATAGGAAGAGGCTGCGGTTTTGCTGTGTGGCATTTCTTCCTGCAACATTACCTGGGAAATACAAGTTTGTACCTATCAAGCTGCTGGGTACAGCTTTGCTGGGTAATGTTGCAGGAATATGTTTCTTATGAGGCGTTTGTGCCATATGGGCTGGGCAGGAATTCAAAAGCACTATTTTTTTCCTGTCCTTGTCCCCAGACAGCCCTGTTAAGTCTCTTTTAATCAGCAAAGAGGGAAAGAAAAGTTTGCGCTCTCTCCTGGAACTGTTTTAATACGACTGGATTGTATCTGGATTACACATATGATCCAACAAGAGGTTTCAGCTCAGCTGTCACAGTGCTGAACTGTGCTTCTGGCTGCAGCAGCTGGCACATGCCCAACCAACTGGCTTCGAT